CTCATACTGGCCACCGCTTCTAACAAATTATCCACTATAGAATGAAAAACTGAGTCCCGGTAATCAGGAAAAAGACTCCCTACAGAATAGGCAACTGGGCCTGCAAGGCCCTAAGTTTGGTTTTACAGGGTTTACTCCAAGGAGGTTATATAAATAAATAAAATAAATAAATAGATATAAATAGATAAATAAATATATATATATAATTATATATATTATGTGTGTGTATACTATATATATACACATGCGTACGTATATAGATACTTTACTGATATATTCTTACCATGTATACGATTTATATCATTTAATTTATTAAAAATGAAATTTCGAAGCTGTTTCCTATGAATTCGATCTGATGACCCTGTCAAAAAAGGGTTTCCTTTGACTTGGTGAATCCCCAAACAACCATGGTTGTTTCAATACTCAGTCATGGTCATCCATGACTTGGATGATGCAACGGGGGTCCCCTGCAATTTAGGAAGCCGGACATATGTATACATGGTATACATCTATACAGCGATATATAGTTCAGATTTTCTGACACTTTTTCGGGGCATTTTTGTCGGATCGTCAAGGTCTACAGCTCGACCGTTTCGGTCTTGGGACATCTTAGCATGATCTGCTTCTACTGCGAGTTCATGCCCTACTTCCAGGCGCCCAAGGGCGCTTGCAGCTCTTACTTGGATCATCCCACGAATCGTAACTGCTAAGGAAAAGCCTAGTTAGTAAGTCCCTTAAGTGGGCTATACACACATTTATACATATATACATAGATATAGATACATGTATATATACGTATATGTATATATATAATTATATATATATAATGTTATATGCATATGGCCTGTAAATTATGATTACTAACCAGTTTCTAAGTGGCATGATCCTCCAATGGCCCCAGGAGGGCCTCCAGTAGTGGTTTTATGAATCTTGCCCCGATGTGTTGTCAAGTTTCAACCAGCTACAACCCAGAGAATATGGGAGAAGAATTCTCCCATGGTTGACTGTGTACGATCCATGGGTCAAGCCCAAAATTCATCCAAATTCCATCGGCCATTTGGTGTTGTCTGGGGATCTACCCATCTACCCAGGAAGATGATCAAACCCGGATTTTTGTGATGTTTTTTCAACAAAAAATGGGGGTCTCCAGCCATGGGTTGCACGTCCACCCTTTTGGAGCGCCAGGCCTGGGCTCCGGTGTTGATCCTCTTCTTGCTGCAGATTTGCCTCGCAGCCGATGCTTGAGCGTTTTTTAGCGAGTCCGATGACATCGATATCCATAGATATCCCATTGGAAATATACTACTGGAAGTGGTATTTATGGATATTTTCTAGTCTAGTATTTATCGATAATATCGGTATTTATGCCAATTTTTGGATATCTCCCCCAGAATTGGAATTTTCATGATCCTCCACACCCTTGGTCTTGGATGGATTTCGTGCCTGTAGCATGAGGGCT